GACGCAGCGGGGCACCGTCCTCGTCGGGGTGCGCCCCGCTGCTAAGCGGTGAGGAGGTAACGGCGTTAGTATTGTTATTAATGTATTTACCCCCACCCCCCCCTCCTCGGGGCAACGCGCACCCTGGCGTCCCGGGGCTAGTAGCTCCCGCCCGCAGGCAGCTGGCGTGAGTTGCCCAAAAACTAAGCCCGAGCGTTAACTTAACGCACTTTCGAGAAGCGAACGCGCTCTCCCGGTCGGTGGACTTGTCCTAATCGCGCTGTGGGTCCCGGGTAAGTTTACCCGTTCAAAATCCTCTCGTAGGCTCCGTGCAGCAGGCGCAGCCTGACTCCGGCAGGTAAGCGCTGCCGGCGAGCCCTCGGTGCGCCTGAAATGCTTCCCACGGCCGGGGAGAGCCGTTTCGCCGAGTTTCTGCCGAACTCCGGTGCGGCTGCTGCCGGGTGGGGCTGCTGCCGCCCCGCCTCCAGGGAGCCCGAGCGGGAGGCGCATTTGGAACCAGTGCCCGACAGCCCCAGGCAGGCAGCCGCGCAGGGGCTCTTGCCTTTGTGAGACGGGGATTTCGCACGGACCCCGTTCCAAGCGCTGGCGGGGTTTGCGTGTGCCGGGGCCCGCCAGGACCCCTCGGTAGGCAAGGTGGGGAGCGACGTTCACAGGCGTTCAGGCACAGCCATTTCCCTGCCTGATGTCTCCGGTCTGCGAGCAGGCCCTCGGGAAAATGTAAAGCCTTTTGATGCTAGTGTGCGTTCTGGGTCTGCCCGCATGTACACCAGCGCAGGATGCCGCTCCTCCATGCAAACAGAAAACATCACGCTTGTAACTTTTATGGTTTTAATAACGAGGATGTCTTGCTGGACTTCTCCCCCTCCCCCCCCGCCAGTACTACATCAAGTTGCGATTTATTTGCAAGGATTGAAATACATTTTCCTGAGGTACCTCCTTTATCTCTTGCCAGTTTCTTCAAAATGTCTCTGTGGCTAGTATCGGGCTCCAGATTTTTGTCAGTCTTTACACCTTTTAATTTATTTACTGTGTATTCTGGCATTCATTCCAATTTTTTTTTAATATTTCCTTTCCCTCCCTTGGGGAAACTTCTGGCTAGTTCTGGCATCTGTTATGATTTTTGCCCTGAAGCAAAGATTATGTACGTATTAATTAGTGTCTTTTCTCATTTACTGGATCAGCTGCAAGAATATGTCAGGTCAAACTTGATAAAAACTGCCAATCCCAGGCAGCCCCTTGTCTCTGCAAGGAGCCAACGCTGCGTGTCTCAGAGAAAGCAGCATGTAGTTTTGTTGATACTGTCTGTAGACATTAGGGAGGTTCTCTTTGTACGCACATACGCATTTCATGCTTTTACTGATTATCGCTTACATTCACTACAAAATCTGTCAAGTTTCAAGGGAACACTTCATTGCTCTTGAACTATTTGATTTTCAAGGTAACATTGAAGAAGTAATTGTCAATTTGAATATATTGCCTTCTAATTTCATTTCATATTCTGTTGTTCTTGCATTATGAAAAGACAAAAAACAGGACCACCCATTCAACCTTGCTTATGTCCTTCTCAGCTCCGTCTTGGCACTGCTTCTTGCATGCTCTCCATGAACCACTCCCCTCAGCTCTCCCACTAAAGTCTGTGGAAGTGGGACAGGCATCGCAATATCTGACCTTGTTTTTACCAATACTAAAGAAGTACTTGAAACCACTTGCCT